GGGGCAGTGGCTATACAGGAGGTTTCTGTTGTTCCAGACAGGCTGACACAAAGGGTGCATCCCCACGAGCATGTTGTGGTTTGTGTATTGATGTACCGATTTGTAATATATATTCTTTTCTAGGATAAAACATGATAAATTAATTATAAAGATGAAGCATTGATTGCTCTAGTAAAATCACAAACCTGCTTAATTTTGTGTCTTTTTTACTATAAACTACATGTTCATTTGTACAAAGAGACTAATAGCTATTGTTTTGTTGCTGGTTTTTTTTCCCTGAGGCAAAACAGTAAAAGGATGGATTTCATAAGAAATCAGAGAGCTGTTACTCTGCACTTAAAAGGCAAAAACAATTCATATTTCCCTGACGTTTCTTCTTTCAGTTCTCAAAATCCAGGTCCTGTGGCTCCTACACAAGCTCCAGTTCTATACAAATGCATTCAGTTTTGATGCCCATGTTTCTCAGATTTTTCATTTAATCTTTCATTGCTACTAGAATCGTGGGGGGCTGCCTTTGATTTTTTTTTCAGCTTGTCTACTCAGATCACCCAGCAAACACTTTTTCAAGGGAAAAACAGAACTGGATTTGTTGCCTCTCTGCTTTTCCAGAAGATGACCTTGAAATGTCATCCCCTGCTCATTTAAAACTCTACAACACAAGTGTTTATATCATTTGACTTATCCAATTTCCCTTTAACTTTTTGGGGATTCAAATGCTAAATAAGCCAGGGATTTCCACTTTGCTAGCGTGCAGGAATAATAATGCTTTGATGGCTTAGATCATTTTTTGGATTCATGTGCAGAATGTGGTATATAGCTAAGCTTCCAATGCTTGCAATTGTCTCCACAGAGTGGAGGTTGTTACAGCATGACTTCAAAAAGAGAGAGACGTGCTGATGTTGTTTCTGGATTTGTGCAACTGATAGTTTGTGAGAAACGGTAGTTGATGCATGGCCTCCATCTGAAGACAGAGGTACTAATCATATCCATAGTTTAGTTTAATATCTCCCCAAATAAATCTGTTAGTTTATTCAAATACAGGATATCTCTGAAACCACTGAGAGCTTTGCCAGTTACAACTGGGGCTAAAGTCAGATGATAAAATCCTGGTCCCACTAAGTGAACTGATTTCCTCCTAGGATTGTATTTTGAACTAGGAAGAAAAGAGCAGAAGCCCTCCAGAGCTGAACTAGCACACAATTGCTAGTAGCCAGCAGAGGCAGAGCTACGATATCAAGAAATTCTGCTTCTAGTTTTATAGGCAAACCCCACGCAATAGAGAGGAAGATCCAACCTGAGACTAAACAGACATCCCCTAA